AAGCCTTTCGTCATGTACGTCTTTAACTCTGCATTCACTTTATCCTCATCCCACATGAACCCTTGAATGTTCTACAATTCAAACACAATTGCAATGTTAAATCAGTGGAGATGACACTACATAGAAAAAGATGAAGCGGAAGCTGGAAAGATGAAAATATACCTGAACCCACTCAAAGTAACTAACAGTAACACCGCCTGAATTTGCATATATGTCTGGAAGGACGACAACTCCCTTCTTTGACAAAATCTATGGAGGAAAATACTAGATAATTATGTTGCCAGCACCTCTAATTTCATGCTGTGGCATAATTTAAGACTTGTTTAACCATTAGCTAACCTCATCAGCCTCTGGATCAGTTGGATGATTAGCTGCTTCAATAATAAATTTGGCTTTGATATCTTTTGCATTTTCCCTTCAATAAGATATGAAACATCGTTAACTGTATTGGAAATTTACAACCACAACATGCGGGAGTACTATGATGACATGTAAAAAAAACCTGTTGATCACGCCTCCCAGAGCTGCTGGGATAAGAATGTCGCAATCCTCAGCCAATATAGAATTAGGATCAACAGGATCCCCACCACTGAATCCTTTTACTCCATGGGTTTCTTTGACGTGGTTGAGTAGGCTTGGTATGTCAAGACCACTACTATTCTTTATAGCTCCTGTAATATCACTTACTGCAACAATCTTTCCCCCCTGCTCACTTATAAGTTGAGCAGCCCAAGAACCAACATTTCCGAATCCCTGACACAAAAAGAATGTCAAAGCTGAGGTTTAATAAACAATTGATATCCTTTTCTAACCGGTCCACTTCTCCATGAGAAATAATTGCATTAAGATTCATCAAGTTTTATTTCAGTTCAACTATAAGCCTAATCAAAATATGAGGTAAGCCTATAAGGATCGTCTAACTTTGATACCTGCACAACAACATGTTTCCCAGCAATGGTCTTCCCGTACTCTTTAAGCAGGGCTTCAGTTGCAAACAGCACACCTCTTCCTGTAGCTGCATCTCTTCCAAGGGAACCACCAAGATCCTAAAAATAAGAAACTTGGATCTTTCAAGTTACTACAGAAATGGAGAAATTTCAGAAAGATGAGAAATAACATTTTCCACTACTAAAAGAGAACAAATGTATCATCCAATTACATTAAAAAACAATTTAAAAACAAATCATGAACCTGACTGAAGTATCATTCGATAGCTTTTACTATACTTACAATAGGTTTTCCAGTTACTACTGCAGGTGAATATCCATGAAATTTCGAATATTCATCTAAGATCCAAGCCATTGTCTGTTCAGCCGCACAGAAAAGATTTAACAATACATTCAGATACATCAGTGAGTTAATTGATACTTAAATGGTAAGGTTGAGATATATGTTCCATGGACCTGTGGATTTGTTCCCATATCAGGTGCTGGAACATCTGTGTGGACTCCAACCAGATCATGTATCTTTTGGGTGAAAACTCTAGTAAGTCTTTCTAGCTCAGAGATGCTCAAATCCCCTGGATTACATCCTATCCCTCCCTTGGCTCCACCGTATGGTATGTTAGCTACTGCAGTTTTCCATGTCATTAGTTGTGCCAAAGCATTCACCTCATCTGGGTCTACCTACATTATCAATGTAGAATTTTGATTATAGAGGGAAAAAGGAATCTGGAAAATGGATCTAATTACACAATACATAGATTAGGAAGAAATATTATAGTCTTCATCTTAGATGAGCTTATTTTATCAATTTGATTTGTGAAAACTGAATCTACTTTAGCAATTGGTCCACTGAATCAAAGATCAGAACCAGGATGATTGCATCACTAAATCGATTCTTAGGTAATCAAGTTTAAAGTGATCAGCCAATTAAAATTTAACGAACCTCTGGGTGGTATCTTATCCCTCCTTTCATTGGACCTCTCGCATTGTCATGCTGAACCCTGAATCCCACAAAAGATGCCAAGGTGCCATCATCTTTTGGTATGGTACACTCAACCTGTGATGTTGACCGAAGCAGGCAAGGAACACAATTAAACAAAAGTATTTTGAAAACAAAAGCATGCTAACTAGGGCAAAAATGAAAATCTATGGAATGTGAAGGGTGAAATAGTTATATTCGAATCAAGATAAAATGACTAGGTATTTCAAACACCGTGGTAAATTACTACCAAAAAGGAAGAGTAATGCTACTGAAAACCGGGGCCATCAAGGGAATCCTTGCTTTTGAAGTGCAAAATCTTGCACTGTAGACCGAAGGCCAGTGTGTGTATGGAAGTAAAAAATGGGCTCGTGACGAAAAATTTAATGATAAGAGAAACTATTGGGCATCTGCCAGAGGGGAAAGAAACTGGTAAGATACGACATTCAAAATTTAAGTACACAGAAAAATCAGACAGCAAAAATAAAATGATTGGTTCTTCAAACAAAATTAAATCCTATGAAATTAATCAATCAACATCATGAAAGTGTTGATAACCTTGATTTCCCTAAATGGAATGAGCAGACTCTTCTCAAGCTTTGAGTCCAACCCCAGAAGCCGAGCTGCCAGCTTAAAATTTCTGTTTGTTGCGGCTAACGCGTTCATGATTCTTCAAAAAGCTTCTTCCACAAAGGAAATGAGATTTCAAACTTCAGATACAGAATGAGGAATATATGTACAAAGACCTTAATGATGATATACAGATTTTCTGAAGAGATAAACATGCAACAGATATTTATAAGAGTGATTATATCATACAGTTAAGACCTTACTGGATAAGAAGTACAAGTATGTTCAATAAAATAAATATATACCCTTAAAAAATTGCATGTCGTGTCATCATCCTTGTAGGATGTCAACCTTGTGCATAACATGTTTTCTAAACTTTGGAGGAATATTTTCTAGCCAAACACAATTTCTCTTGGAAATGCAATGCACATGACTATTCAACGTTAATTTAAGCTTTTAGTTCATGCACAGTGAGGCGGTCATTCTCATCCAGACACATAAGAAGGATTTCCAAGCTACTTGACGCAAAATTAGCTAGAAAATCTCATCTAAAACTAAGTTTGATATTAGTTTCTTTTCCCTACAGATGCCAAAACTTTTACTTGATATTTAAGAGCACAAGGCAAACTCAAGCAAAACTAACGTATTAGTAGTGAAATAACGGTCCAAAAATCCCTTTTTTTGGGTTGGGGGGGGGGGGGGGGCCCC